TGGTCAGACTCACCTATTCCGAGTGTCCTGATGAACACTACGTTATTTGCTCCACTTTCCACTGACTGGAATCTTCTCAGCCTCATCTCCGTAGATGCCTTAAGGTCACCAACTTCTTTCTTCAGAGCAGCCTCTGCGTCATCGTCATCTCCCTCACTGCCAGAGGGTTGTGGATCCTTGTCTATAAACTGTTTGCACAAAACTAATGAGAAATGACCCAACAGCTCATATTTCAACACTATCATTAGCTACTTATATGAAACTCCCAGAGGCAGAAGGCTCAGCTCTGACTATAAAGCTTTTTACTAATAGACTGCTACACCACTCCCTTCAACAGCAGGTGGGAGCTTCCTCAGACTTTCATGCACATAATTGGAAACTGTTCTCAGGCACATCAGCAGAAGTACTGTGACAGTCTGGGAAAGACAGAAATGAGCTCGCCAACTGAATTATTTCAGGACTGGCCTTAATACCACACCTAGGCATCTGTGCTGGATGTATGACAACCTCTTTCTGGTGAGATCAGACTGACTATAATAATTACACATTTATGGAGCTTTCTTTACACCCTATGACGCACGAGGATACTTCACAAGGCTTGTAGAAAACGGAATAAAGCTGGATTACATAACTCTGCTTCACAAAAATTGTAAAATCCATGCATATACGAAGCGTTCAAAATTGGGGGAAAATGTCTATTTTAAAATCACTGTACACATGAATTTCAAAAAAACTTTTTAAAAAAGATTTATTAATTTTTTCATTGGAAAGTCAGATATACAGAGGAAGAGAGACAGAGAGGAAGCTCTTCCGTATGCTTATTCACTCCCCAATGGCAAGAGCTGAGATGATCCAAAGCCAGGAGCTTCTTCCAGGTCTCGCACACCCGTACAGGGTTCCCAGGCTTTGTGTGGTCTTCGACAGCTTTCCCAGGCCACAGGCAGGGAGCTGGACGGGAAGCGGGGCTGCTGGGATTAGAACCGACGCCCGTACAGGATCCCGGCGCATTCAAGGAGAGGATTTTGGCTACTAGGCCACCATGCCGGGCCCAAAAGGGGCCTACTTTTTAAGATGTATCTTTATGTGTATTTCAAATGTAACTGGAACTGCCACTGAAGCCACTGTGACAGCAGCTGGACACACAGACACACACACTGTAAGAGCCAAGTTTATATGAGACTGGTTAGAAGCAGTATTTCCTAAAGAGCTTCGGCACATCCCCCATCCGCAGGAAGCAAACAGTAAATGGGCAGTCCAACTGAGTGAGAGCGAAAGTGAAGTTCAGAGGCAAAGGCTTTGAGCCCAAGAGCCAGACTGTACCAGGCCACATGCCTACACTGCAGGCCCCTGCACACACCAGAGGCCACAATTACACACCACACACGGCTGGTCGGACACACACGCGATGCCACGCGGACACACGGGAGGCCCCGTGGACACACGGCAGGCCCCGCGGACACGGCAGGCCACGCGGACACACGGGAGGCCCCGCGGACACACGGCAGGCCCCGCGGATACACGCGAGGCCACGTGGACCCACGGGAGGCCACGCGGACACACGGCAGGCCCCGCGGACACACGGGAGGCCAGGCTTCCCACTCGCGGCGCGCAGGCGTGGAGAGCAGCTCGGCCTTCCAGCGCTTCCTCCGCCCACCCGCGCCCCGGGGGCCGGTACCTTTTCTGGCCCATACATGTCGTCGCCGTACTCGTTGAGCAGGCTGTAGGCCTCCTCCACGCACTTGCGCTCGTTCATGTTGCACGTGATGAGGATGCCCTGTAACCCGGGCTCTAACTGCCTGGGCCCGCCGCCGTCGCAGCGCCGAGCTCGTTTGGCCTGCACGTACTGGGCCCTATTTTTGCGCTTCCCCCCACCAGCCTGGGCGGGTTGTTGGGCGCAGTCGGCCATAGTGCCACTCAGCTGAGGTGAGACCAACGTCTCCTCACGGCGAACAGCGTCTTCTCCGTCGCTGACCTGTTACGTCAGAAGAGCGCGCCGGCCCACCCGAACCCGCCGCCAAGGCCCTCTGTGCGGCGCGGGGTCCTAAAGCCGGCCGGCGGGCCGCATAAGGTGGACGCAAGGCTCGCCTCTTCCCTGCTCCTCGCGGTGACTGGCAGGCTTGGCTGTGCCGCGCGGACGCAACCGGCAGAGTCTGGACCCGTTGCATATAGATCTTGCTGGAGAGCAACCGTTTCGTATATTCTTTCTTGTTCATGCTTTCCGTTCTGGAGCACCTATGTGTGCCGCTCAGAGCTGGGGCCATTCGCCGAGCAAGACACTACTGATTGCCTTTATTTTTCTATATTTTAAAGATTAATTTATTTTTACTGGAAAAGCAAATCCATAGAAAGAAGAGGAGACAGAGGCAATGATCTTCCATCCGTTGGTTCACTCCCCAGATGGCCAAAACAGCACGAGCTGAGCTGATTCGAAGCTAGGAGCCAGGAGACTTCCCTTGTCCTCCCACACGGATGCAGGATTCCAAGGCTTTGGGCCATCCTCCACTGCTTTCCCACAGAGGAGGGAACTGGATGGGAAGTGGAGCAGCCGGTACAGAAAGCAGCGTCCATCTAGGATGCTGGTGCTTGGAGCTGGAGGACTTGCTTGTTAATCTATTGTACCAGCCCCCAGTGATTGCCTGTCAGACCAGTGGGCCTTAAAATCACCCTACTTGTTTGTTCCTTGGAAATCTGTATTCAGTAGACTTTATTCTAGTGCTCTTGTGCACGACTCCAGATGCACAAGAAAAATAGGACAGATAAAAGAGCCAGGAGCTTTTTCTGGGTATCCGACACGGGTGTAGGGTTCTGAGGCTTTGGATCATCCTCTATTATTTTTGCCAGGCCACAAGCAGAGAGCTGGATGGGAAGTGGAGCAGCCAGGACATCAACCAGCACCCATATGGGATCCCATTAGGTTACCGCGTTAGGCCCTAAGTTTTTTTTCCCTACTAGATTCTTTTGCTTTGGTCAGTACAATTAAGATCAGAGTTCTGGATAATAAAATGTTAACTTATCAACATTCCATGGTGTAGCCTAAGGTAAATGGAAAATGTTCACATCCTCTCAGAGTGCCCTAATTATAGAAGTGATATTTTTTCTCTTGGAAGTGATTTCTTAAGCAACAATTTGAAGAAAGTAGTTTATTTAGTTTGTTTATCTTCCCCTCTGTCTCTCCTCCTCTCTGTGTATCTGACTTTGTAATAAATAAGTAAATAAATAAATTTTAAAAAGATTATTGCCTTTAAGAAGGCAACCAGAAGGGATTTTTTTAAGATTTATTTTTTTACTGCAAAGTCAGATACACAGAGAAGATCTTCTGTATCATGATTCACTCCCCAATAGACCACAACGGCCGGTGCTGTGCTGATCCAAAGCCAGGAGCCAAGAGCTTCTTCTGGGTCTCCCATGAAGGTGCAGGGTCCCAAGACTTTGGGCCATCCTCAACTGCTTTTCCAGGCCACAAGCAGGGAGCTGGATGGGAAGCGAGGCTGCTGAGATTAAAACTGGTGCCCATATGGGATGCCAGAGCATTCAAGGTGACGACTTTAGCCACTAGGCTGCTGTGCCAGGTGCAGGAAATTAAAAAAAAATAATAACATAAAGTACAATAGATAAAAACACATAGCACCAACATGCCTTACCTCCACCGAGCGGTTTTTGTCACATTTTAATGAACGGTATGTAATGTGTTCCATTCGTTGTGTAGCCTTAGCCACATTACTTGCTACACTTGCCCTTTCATCTCACTGACAAACTATGTAAGGGACTCACCCCAAAGTCTCCTTTCCTATTTGAACTTGGGTCTAACTCCAGAGAAGTCACGTTTGGCCTGACTCATGCTGTTATGTGCAGCCTACACAGCTCTCCTAAGTGTCTGATCTCTTGTAGAGACTGAATGAATAAGGGAGGGGAGAAGAGAGAGATATTCTCGTTTACATACCAAATGGTTACAAAAGGCTGAGGCCAGAAGCCAGGAAGTCTCTACAGGTCACTCGTGTGGATGGCCAACATCTGCTGCTTCCAAGGTGAATTACAAGGATGTGTGATAGGAAGAAAAATAGCCAGGGCTAGAACTGGCACTCTGATTACAGTTAAGACCTTAGCATGGGAAGTCTACAAGATATACTGTAAAATGTGGGGAAGAAATCAAAGACATATGTAAAATGAACCAATTCACGGTGGGTTTTTTTGTTTGTTTTGTTTTTAAAGATTTGTTTACTTCAAAAGCAGAGTCACTAAGAGAGAGAAAGAGATTTCCCATCCACTGGTCTACTGCTCAACGGGTTACAATGGCCAGGCAGAAGTCAAGAGCTTCTTCCTGACCTCCCATATGGGTTCAGGGGCCCAAAGCACTTGGACCATCTTCCTCTGCTCTCCAGGCACATTAGCAGGGTGTTGGATTAGAACTGGAGCATCCAGGAAAGGAGCCAACACCTATATGGGACACTGGGATTGCAGGTGGTGGTTTAACCGTCTATACTATAAAATTGCGCCCCCGCAATTCATGTTTTAAAAGGGAACATACATGAGCATATGTAAGGAGTTTTCTAAAAGCTCATGGAAATGTAGATTGTGGAAAAAACTATATACAAATTTCAAAAATATTTCTGCACCAAAATAAACTTTTAATTATATTTGCTACAGCTTTTTAAACGTATTCTAGCATATATATTTGTACACAAATGTGTGTATATGTTTTAATTCCATTATATATCAAAGTGATCATTAGAGGGCCTAGTGTGGTGGCTCAGTGGCTAAAGTCCTCACCTTGAACGCGCTGGGATCCCATGTGGGTGCCGGTTCTGATCCCAGCAGCTCCACTTCCCATAAAGCTCTTTGCTTGTGGCCTGGGAAGGCAGTTGAGGACCAAAGCCTTGGGTCCCTGCACTCACATGTGGGAGACCTGGAAGAAGCTCCTGGCTCCTTACTTTAGATTGCCTCAGCTCTGGCTGTTGCACTCACTTAGGGAGTGAATCATCGGACGGAAGATCTTCCTCTCTGTCTCTCCTCCTCTCTCTCTATATATCTGACTTTCCAATAAAAATAAACAAATTTAAAAAAATCATTAGATAGTTCTACTTTATGCCTTTTCTCCACATTTTTATTCTAAAGTCCAACGCCAAGGATAAGGAGGTATTAAACCTCGGTTCTTTCCTTTACAAACAGAATGGTAAACAAAGATTAAGTGGCACAAATCTCTGCAACTTTGCAAAAAGGTGACTCAACTGGTCCTGCCACTTCTGTCCAAATGCCCCAGCCTTTCCTCAGACGATGTAAGAAGTCTGGGGAGGAGCTAAAGGAGAATAAGGGTTTTTTGTTATTCTTTTGTTTTTTAAATATCCTTTGCTAAAAGGGACATCAAGGTGATCACCCATAAAGATTAGAAATGGCTTAAAGAAGAAATTGGCATCACATTCCCCTCGGAGGAACTGAGCCAGAAAGGGAAGAAGGGACAGATGGCAGGGCAGATAAAGTCAGATAGGTGTAGGGGAGGCCAGCAGAAGACCCACCTACAGTCCAAGACAGGTAATTCCACAGATGTGTGAGTTTCTGGTGGTTTCCAAGTGGAGAATAATGAGAGAGAAAGGTGAGTTAGAGACAGATAAGGACGTGCGCCTCTGTCCCACAGGCTGGAGCAGGAGGAGCCGATGAGTCCAGACAACCTCTCTGCCCATGCAGCTCCCAACACACAAGCCTATGCTGAGGAGAAGGCAAAGGAACAATGTACACTGAGTAGATGAACTTTAAGTGAAAATAACTTGGAAGTTGCGGAATCATCGAAAGTGTCACTAAGGGACAGGAGGGTGTATAGGATTCGGCAATACAGGAAAAGAAAAACGGGGAAAAACAGTTTTGAGCTCAAACTTGTAAAAATGTTATAAATATCCATCCCAACCATCTCCTCACACCCCGGGCTTGTTTTGCAACACGTGGAGATCATGCCTTATTACATTTTAGTAAATAATTCTGTAGCTTTCATTTTAAGCATATGTATATATTAGCCTTGTGAGTTAAAGTGTGACTGGCATTCACAAAGTACTGGACCCACAGCCAGGCTTACTTCTTAGCCTCCTGGAAGTAAGGGTGACCACTGAAACAAAGGCAGAAGTAATGTAAGCTGCCTCTAAGCCCAAACCTACAGCTTACTTACTGTCTCTTTCCCATACCCTAGATCTGTCACTTCTAGTCAGCCAGCTCATTTCAGAGCATCTGCCTAGGGACAGGGGAGCGCCTGGGTTCATCCAGAATCCCTGCTCAGAGGAGTCACCCAGGAAAGGCCATCAAGCAGAAGCATATGTCCCTGTTAGATCGCTGCAGTGGAATTCCAGGTTCTGCTCCCAGCCCAGCTAGTGCGACCTGACACAGGAGATGACAGCAGCCTGCACTCCTGTGGGAGACCTCACCAATTGGTTACAAAATCAGAGGGTTCCATGACCCCTGTGTTTGTTAATTCACTAGCACAGTTTCACAGACCTCAGAAAAACAATATGTCATATTTACTACAGCTTCACCATAAGAGGTAAAACTCAGGACCTATTAACTGAAAAAACACATAGAGAAAGTTCTGGGAGGCAGAGCTTCAGTGCCTTTTCCCACATGGAATCAGGGCTTATCAGGTTATGTGTTCACCACCCAGGCAGTGCCACTGTATTTTTGCTGAAGCTTCATCACACATGATAAATTGGATCTTTGATCACAATTTTCAGGCTCCCTTCCTGCCCACCATGATGGGAAGGGCTTCAATTTCCAACCCTTCAACCATGTAGTTGGTCTTGCCATTTGGAGGTTTCCTGTTGGCATTCATTCAGGTACGATCGAAGAGATCCAGGAACACAAAAAGATGCCTCTCTCACTCAGGAGATTCCAAGGATTTAGAGTGTCCAGGGCTTTGAGCTCCTTTCTGGGACTAGCAAAAAACAGTCATGCATCAGGAAAAATGCGCTCAGCTGGCTCTGTGCTTCTTCCAAAGTATTGTCTAACAAAACAACTGGATTAAGATGAAGTTTTTCTTTCTTTTTTCTTTTTCAGAAAAAGGAGTACTAACACAAGAACTTACACAATGTCAAGTTATTCTCCATTTATAGTCAATGGACAGTTAACAACTAAGCAGAATACTTATTATAATCCCATTGTGAAAGAAAAATCCCTACAAGATGTTAAATTCAGCTAAAGACAAAAATTAAAGTATAGGAAGAATAAATGTCTACAGCCCCAGAGATAGGAGGAAATAAACATGTCAACTGTTTCAACTCAAAGTAGGTATAAATTGACATAGTTTAAATAGAAAAATGACTCTTGTTAGTCACTGAGGTCACCTGCAGAGTGAGCCAGCGAATGGAAGATCTCCTCTGTAAATTTGCCTTTCCAATAAAAATAAATAAAAATTTAAAAATGACTGACTTATCTATTTATGCATTATTTTAAATTTTTTCATTTTTTTCAAGAATATCATTTTTATAACATGCCCTCTTCACTTTTCATTTAACAAATGCCTATTGTGTATTATTTGCTATTTTACTTAACTGAAATTTGGTGGTGAACAAGAACATATAAAGTTCTTATATTCCAGTCCTTAATCTGAAATGGCTGTCAGGGACCTTAAGTACAATATTAACCAGAGATGACTAAATGGAATGTCTCTAATATTCCACCATTAAATTTCTCTAATGACTCAATATAAAAATTTGGTTAATAGATAATCCAGGAGAGAAACAGAAACATCATTTGCTCACTCATTCAAAGTTCATGGTCAAGGCTAGCAAAACAAAAGACAGATTAAAAAGAGAAAGGCACACAGTTTTATTTGCTGCCAGTTTTACATGACACAAGCGCATTCAGAAACAAAGGCCCAAACAAAGAAGTACACTTGTGTACTTTTATGCTTAGGTTTGATAGCTGTGGAGAAGTGTGCACGGACACAGTAGTCTGAGCTAATGGAAATGAATAGCAAAAAATATTAACTGTAGAAAATGTAGCAAGGCTTCTCTGTTCAGATCTTCTCTACATGCCTGTGTCTTTGGAGGTAAGAGATGTTCCTTTTCTCTGGGTCGAGGGAAGGCCCATCTTGAGAGAGATTTGTGATTTACTTTACAGGAGGGGAAGGGAAAGGCGATAGACCCTTTCTGTTTCGGCTGTTTTTGCAAATGGCAGAGTGCACGTGGAAAACTGAGCTCTCTCAGTCACCTAGAAGTAACAGAGAACAGATTCTTCTCCCTCTACACTCAAGTGGCACTGAAGCCTCAGCAGAAAACCCAAACTTCCATGCTTACTTGGCAATCATGAGTAGGTACCCTCCCCTCTCGCTGCCCCAGCAGTGTCAAAGAAAGCTAGTTAAAATTTAAAGCTAAATAAAATCTGTATCTCTTTATATAATACAAAACTGTCTACAGTTCAGTGAAAGGCCATTTTTAATATCATGAACCAGGAAGAATGCCAAGTGAATGAAGAAAGTGATCAAAAGAAATCAACACTAAAATAACAGAGATGTTAGAAATATTTGATAAGGATTTTAAAGGAGCAGGTGCTAGGTGCTATGGCACAGTATGTTAAGCCTCTCATTGTAGTCCCAGCATCCCACAGGTGTGTCAATTCAAGTCCCAGCTGCTCCACTTCCAATCCACCTCCATGCTACTGCACCTGGGAAAGCAGCAGTGGATTAACTCTGCATCCACTTGGGAGACCTGCAAAAAGCTCCAGACTCCTGGCTTCAGATTGGCCCAGCTCTGGCTGTTGTGGCCATCTGGGGAGTAAACCAGCATGTGGGAGGTCTCTTTCTGTTCCTCCTCTCTCTGTAAACTCTGCCTTTCAGATAAAAACAAGAAAAAGAAAAGAAAAAAGAAAATAAACAGCTTCAACTAAGAGCATGTTTTTGAAAATTACAATATAAGCGATATCTTAAAAAGGTTTTAAAGTAGCTGTGCTAAAGATTATGACAATCATAAATACACTTGAAACAAACGAAAAAAGAAAACAAATCTCAGCAAAGAAATGGAATATGTTAAGAAGAAACAAATGAGAATTATAGAGCTAAATAATTCAACAGCAAATATAGTTAGTTATTTGTTTTTTCTTACCATATGATAATAACAAGTGCTATTTTAGAAAAGATTTGGTAAAGAAAAATCTCTTTAACAGGATCCTCACAAAATTAAGGATTTGAGGTAAGCCTAGGGCTCAGGGCTTAGGCTACCATTTAGGATGCCCATATAGCATATCAGAGTTCCTGGATTGAAAACCTTCACCTGCTTCACACCCAGAGAGGCAGCAGGGGGCGGCTCAAATAGTTGGGTCCCTGCTACTTATGTGGGACCCCCAGACTGAAATCTGGGCTCCTGGCTTTAACTTGGGCTACTCCAGCTGTTGTGGACATTTAGGAGATATCTCTCTGTCTCGCTCCATTTCCAATATATACATTCAAAATTTGTTTAGATGATGGATTTGGCCAAGGATATATCTATGCAAACTGAGTTCAAAGATCCTGAGGCTGGAATATGTGCAGTATTGAGAAAAGGCAAGGAGGCTGGTGTGACTGGAGCAGAGTGAGGTGGAGGCAAGAAGATGTGTGGGCGTTGGGTAAGAAAGTGCTAGATAATACAACTGTGCCAGATTACACAACTCCTGCAGAGCATTAACCACACAGTGCTTGTAGTCCTGGCCAGTCCAACAGATTAACACAATCCACACTGGCCCTTCAACTTCTTTCCTTTTCATTGTCTTCTTTCCTCCTTCTGAGGGAACAAAACAAACTTCCTCTGTTTATTCACTGAACTTACCCAGCAACTCCCTAGGCACCTTCTCCCTTGTGAAATAATAAACAAATCTGTACTTAAATAAACTGCTTTAATGATGTAAGTCATTACTTGCAAGAGGGATTGCTAGGGATTGTGTAAACTCTCAGGGTAAAGCAGCCCAGAGCTCCTGCCTCCAGAATGTCTCCACCAATCGGAAGGTGCTCTGGGCAAGAGTTACTCCTTCCAACTGCCACACTCCTTCCCACACTCAGTTGGCTGCTGCTAAGGTTAAAGCAGCCACGAGAATTCAAACTCCAGAGCTGCTCTTCAAGGAAACAGGCTGCTGTCATCTGCAGCTGCATCGGGAACCTGTCACTCGAGTGAGTACTTCTCTCCTTGTAAAATTCCCTGTGCTGGCATATGGCATATTTTTTTGGAGCAATGATAATGAATTAGCAGTCAAGACTAACAAATGAACAATGCCCTCATGGAAGTGTTAAGATTTAAGCAACCCGGGTGTTTCTCTCATGAGTTTCAGTTAGCGTGACACTTGAGTATACACACACAAAAGGCTGTAAACCTAACACTTGCGTTTTCCTACTAAGGCTTTTAGTGCTGTTTTTAGTTTATTAAAAACCATATGTATGTATTAACTTGGTAAAATGTTTTAGAAAAAAAGTTGAGCCTGAGAAGCAACTGAGTTTTTCACTAGACTGCCTTCTTGACAGGTGGGAATCCATCTGCTATATTATTTGGAAAGTATGAAAATTCCTTCTAGTGAACTTTGGGAAACATACTTATGCAAATGATGAAAATAATCCGAGGGCACAATTATTTTTCTCCACAAAGTGACCAGGGCTAGCCAGGAGAGGTTCCAGGCAGGGACTTGCCGGGCTTGAGGAGAAAAACAAGGATGGGACTTGATCTTTCTTTGAGGCTGTATTGCCAAGCCACTTGGATAACTTAGAAGAAAGTTAGTTAGGTGTGGAGAACTGGGCTAGCCTGAAGCCCCCTTGGCACCTCGGTTCACATGCGCATGTGAAGCTTGCATTTCTGATGAGACTTTAAATACTTTCTGAAGCCCAGAGCGCTACTGTCTTTCTTAGAAGAGTTTTCCTTAGTGATATTTCTGGGATTCAGTATGAAAGCCTTGCATTTCTGATGAGACTTTAAATACTTTCTGAAGCCCAGAGCGCTACTGTCTTTCTTAGAAGAGTTTTCCTTAGTGATATTTCTGGGATTCAGTATGAAAGCCTGGACTTGCTGGAAAAGTATTTCAGTGTTTTTTCCCAGCTGCAAAGAATTTGGCAAACCTGGAAAATAGTTACAAAATGCTAAGAACTTTGGTCAGGAAGCAGTCTGGTGAGGAGGATGTTAATATTTTCTTTGTGGTTGAACAGAATGATTAGGTCCCTTTTGAGTGCCAACTTATTGCTGAATTTTATATGCAGTGTGTGTTTGAGGGATTTTAAATGTGGTAGAGATGTTTGATTGAAAAATAAGCAAGAAATCAAACTGAACTCTACGTCTACTCATAAGTAGGATATTTATCCCCAGTGACATTAATATTTGTGCAATTGCTTGTTTCCTGAATAACCTGGAAGTTTCATGGGGGCAGGATCAGCTATGTCCTACTCACAGTTTTATTTTCAGCATTTAGTATATATAACTGATAAACAGGAAAGGCACAACAAACACCTATTTTAGGAATGAATATTGTCCAATTTGGATAAGTTATACCTGTGGGTGTGTATTTCCTTGTATGTAAAATGAAAATCAATGTATGTAAAGTGTTTACCACAGCACAGCCTCATGCACGACTCAGCAACAATGTCACCTCCCTGCTGAGGACTAACAGAATCTTTTTTTTTCTACCATTTGTCTCTTTGGTTTTGGTGTAGATTTTACTTATTTGTTGCCTTGCTTATTATATGTATGATTCAATGAGGGCAGGGAGGCCCTTTCTCTTTTGTTCATTTCTGTATCCTTTATGTCAGTTTATAGTAGGTGATCAATCAAATTGGTAGAATAAATACATTAAGCATGCCAGCATATCATAAACGAAGTATAAGCCTCAAGGTATTTAGTCTCTTTGGGAGAAATTTCTGCCTTTTATATTAATAAAGCTAGGCATATTTTCTTATCCTTTTTAAGCATTTTAAAATACTATCTGGAGGCTGATGTGGTGGGTTAAGCCACCATCTAGAGGGCTGGCATTCATATTGGCAAGTCAGTTCTGGCTGGTCCACTTCTGATCTAGTACCCTACTAATGTGCCTGGGAAAGCAGCAGAGGATGGCTGAAGTACTTCTTGGGCTCCTGCCACTCACATAGGAGATCTGGATGGAGTTCTAAGTTCTTGGTTTTGGCCTGGCCCAACCCCAGGCATTGTGGCCATTTGGGGAGTGAACCAGGCAATGAAATGTCTCTGTCTCTCATTTTACCATTATGCTTTCAAATAAGTAAGTAAATCAACAAGTAACTTTTAAAACAATTAAAAAAAATTAAAATACTCTGTAGTATTTTTTTTTAATGTTCTCAGAGAGGAGAGACAGAGGAAAAGGTCTGCTATCGTTGGTTCACTTCTCAAATGGTCACAACAGCTGGAGCTGAGCCAAACCAAAGTCAGGAGCTAGGATCTTCTTCCATGTGCATACAGGGTCCCAAGGTCTTGGGCCATCCTCTGCTGCTTTCTCAGGCCACAAACAAGGAAGTGGATGAGAAGTGGAGCAGCCAGGACACGAACTGGTACCCATATGGGATCTAGCACTTGCAGGGGGAGGATTAGCCAATTGAGCCATTGAGCCAGGCCCTACTATACTGTTTTGCATCCAAGTAATGAGTGAAAGAATCAGAACATTTCTTTTGGAAGAAATAGTGTCAGCATTTCATCTAGACTGAAAAGCCAGAAACAACTCAGGTGACCAAAGGTAGGAGCCAGGTTTAAGACATTATGGTACAGTAGGTCACTGGGACACATACACACATAATCTAAAGCCTAGTGTCACCTACTTCCTGTTGAATGAAATCTGATGCCAGTTCTGTTAGAGACAGCACCAAGTGTGTAGTGGTAACTTGCCAGCAGATCGTGGCAAACCAGACCAAGTGCCCTCTCTACCCAATCCCCCAAACCAAGCAGAATGACAGCTGAGGAACTAGGAACTTTGTCCACAGGGAAACCAGGGCTCAGGTGATTTTTGCTTCTGTTCTAAAGAAAAACCTCTTCTCTTAGACTTAAGACATTTCTGTGAATCGTTTTCTTCCTACAGACTTCAAGTAAGAGAATACTAATGGGTGATACCTTACTAAATTCAGCACCTATAAAAAATCTTGTATGGGGAATCTTCAATCTCCTCAAATTTCCTATGTTTTAACATTTCATAGTAACATGATTAGCTATTAGCCATGCAAATGCAACACTGTCCAGAACAATTTTCTTCAGTGAAGGAAATGTTTCATGTCTGTGTTGACCTAAACATGGTAGCCACTTGCCACATATGGCTATCACCTTGAAATACAGCTGGTGTTGACTGAAAAACTGATTCTCAAAGTTTTCTTATTTTGTTTGAAAGGCAGGAATAGAGATGCAGATAAACAGAGAGGTAGAGAGAGAGATGACAGATCTCCTATTTGCTGATTAGCTCTCAAAATGCCTACAATAGCCATATCCCATATGGATGCTGGTTCTAATCCCGGCAGCTCCACTTCCCATTCAGCTCCCTGCCTGTGGCCTGGGAAAGCAGTCAAGGACCCTGCACCCATGTGGGAGATCTGAAGGAAGTTCCTGGCTCCTGGTTCCAGATCAGCGAAGCACCGGTCCTTGCGCTCACTTGGGGAGTGAATCATCAGATGGAAGATCTTCCTCTCTATCTCTCCTCCTCTCTGTATATTCTGACTTTGTAATAAAAACAAATAAATCTTAAAAAAAAATATTAAAATTCTACTAATTCGATAGATCTGGAGTGGGGCCTGGGCATGTGCATTTATAACACACTTCCAGGTGATGCTGATGTTGCCAGTTCACAGATGGTAACATCTAGCCCAGTGATTCTCAACTTTGCACTTTAGAATTCTCAGAAAAAAAAATATGAAAAATATCATGACCTGGACCCATTCCCAGATTGTGACTTATTTGGTCCCTGATACAATGGAATTAAAAAACAAAATACTCTCCTGGTGATTCAAATGTATGATCAGGGTTCAGAGTCACTGCTCTGTTGAAACACTATTGAACTGTCTAGTCAAACCATTCAGATGGGAAGCCAAAGGTTGGAGTTCTACCTCTAACTTTGATATGGCATGTTGAAGATCACTTTCCCTCTCCAGTGCTCTGGTGTTTTTTTGAGGGTGGTATGAGGAGGTGGGGTGGGGACAGGAAAAAAATGAGAAGACTCAATCCGATGATCTCAGAAGGTTCCAGATCACTGACTTCTCAGGGGGCCCTCATACGAGAAGTCAGGTGAAGCACCCAGGTTCCCCATTGGCTAGGTTCATTAACACGATGTCTAAATATCAGATCTGTTTAGAGTGGCATTCAGTTAATATTTATTGTTGGATGTCAACAGAGAAATGCTTACAAAATGTCAGGCTGCCTTACATGCCACACATGTAGAATTGCAGTTAAAATGATGATTTAATGATTGTGAGAGTAATTTACATTTCATTGGAGGAAATTTGGAAAATTACAGAGAATATAAAGACCCTCAAACAGTCACAGGCCCCAGGACTTATTTTTAATGGCTGTGGCCAAGCAAACGGGTTTTCGGATCAAATGATTTCCCACAGAAGCAGGGAAAGCTAGGGGAACCATGGGGGGCCTCCCCCACAAAAAATCCTAAAGAGTCAAGCCCTGTTATTACATCTCCGGTAAATGCAGCTCCAAGCCTGGACTGGGAGACGTGGGCTCCTAGGCGGAGCATGGGAACTGCAGTTTATGAATTAGGCAGCTAGTAAACGTTGACAGTGCTTTCAAGCCTAATTGGTACTGTGCCACTCTCAGTTTCTTCATCTAAACTTATTCACTGTGAAGAAAATCTCATTAATATTTCTACAGTAACTCAGAAGTCTGTGGGTGAAAGATATTAGATAAAAAGCCCTTAGTTTTCAGTGAAATTAACCAGGTGACCCAGATATTTTCTTCTTGAGAAATGCATTTGGGAAGCAACAGGAGATAATGGTTTGGGACATGATAGCTCTGGGTCCAGATTCAACCAACCGGCTTTTGTTTTAAAAAAACAAAGAAAAACATTTACTCATTTATTTGAAATGCAGAGTATGGAGAGAGAGGGGAGAGACACACACACAAATCTTCCTTCTGCTTGTTTATTCCCTAAATGGTTACACACCTCACCACACCACACACACTTATTTCCTAAATGGCTACAACAACCAGGACTGGGCCAGGTCGAATCCAGGAGCCAGGAACCTAGATGAAGGTCTCCCACATAGGTGCAGGGGAGCTGGACTGGAAGCACAGCAGGTGGGACTCATGAATTGCTGGCATTGCAGGTGGTGACTAAACTAGCTATATCACAATGTTGGCCCCCCAGTCAATGACTCTAAGTAGTCATTTTCTCTCTCTGAAAACAGAGATGATAAGAGTACCCACATTGCAGGAAAATTCTAAGGTTTCAGTGACAAAATGTATGTAAAATACCTAGCACAATATTTGGAGTATAAGGAATATTTGGAGTAAAATGACACCATTACGACTAATAATAATAATAACTTAGCTACTGGGGGGGCCAACACTTTGGTGAAGTAGGTTAAGCCTCTGCCTGTGGTGTTGGCACTCCATAAGGGTTCCATTTGAGTCCCAGCTACTTCATTTTTAATCCAGTCCCCTGTAATATGCCTGGAAGCAGTGAAAGATGGCCAAGTCACTGGGCTCCTGCACCCACACGGAAGACCCAGAAGAAGCTCCTGGCTTCATACTGGCCCAGAACCAGCTGTTTTGGTCATTTGGAGAATGAAGCAGCAGATGAAATCTCTCTTTTTTTTTGCCCCTTCTCTCTGTAAATCTGCCTTTCAAACAAGTAAATTAATTCAGAAAACCCACTTAGCTGCTTTATGGATGTCCACCTTCAGAACAGAAACAGATGCATGTTCTTTATGTTTATCTTTTAGATGGACTGGTCCCTTTGAAATTGTAAGTATAAAAACACCCAACAAGACTGACAACAGCTCTTGTCACCATGAGGTTACTACTTCGTGCCAAGTGTTTTCAGTACCTGGCAATTCCTGGTTCTGTGCGGGCACTGCATAAAGATTATAGAACAGCAACACCTCAGAATTTCTCCAACTATGACTCCATGAAACAAGATTTTAAGCTGGAGATTCCAGAGTATTTCAACTTTGCTAATGATGTCCTTGATCAATGGACAAGTTTAGAAAAGGTATGGATCAAGTGCCAGACTATAATGTCTTAAATAGGAGCAAGTTTGCCCTTAGGGGACAAAAGACATTTAACGATGTCTTTCAATTCATCTATACTCATACACATATATTTGTAATTATGGGTGTGTGGGGTTGGTGTTAGGGTATGTTTACTACTTATAATGGCAGAGATCGGGGTGCTATTAAATATTCTAAGGTGCATAGGCCATCCCCCAGAAAAACAAATTATCTGGACTAATACATCAATATTTCTATGGCTATTTGAGAAAATTTAGGTTACATATATATGCTATTTTAGGTTGACTTTTTTTAAACCAACAAGCAAAAAAGGAAGTAATTTTATGAGTCAGAAACAGAAAAATCATATTTAACAAGGCATAGTTACAACACTGAGACAAAGGATGTAAAAATTCTAATTTTTTATGAAGCAAAATGAGTTAAGTGTGAAATTATATATGCTAGAAGAAATGGCATGTTTCTCAACATCTCGGAATAAGGATCCCAAGATTATTTCCAAATATTCCATGTCTGTACAAACCAGTGCCATGTGAATTTTATTTAGAGAATATCCTGAGTTATGTCATTTGAAACAGAATTTAGCTATTTACCAATCTTTAAGTCCCTAACTAGTTTATCTATCTTTTCTCAGGCTGGGAAAAAACCTTCCAACCCGGCCTTCTGGTGGATAAGCGGAGATGGAGAAGAGGTGAGGTGGAGTTTTGAGGAACTGGGATCTCTGTCCAGGAAGTTTGCCAATATACTTACAGAAGCCTGTGCGTTACAAAGGGGAGAGAGAGTCCTTGTGATTTTACCCAGGATCCCTGAGTGGTGGCTTGCAAATGTGGCCTGTCTGCGGACAGGTTAGTCATGCTTATGATATAATCATATTGAAACTAAGGTGGGTGAGTTTTCAAACTAAGTTATCATGAGATATTTACAACATACTATTTTTTTTCAGGAACCTATAAAATATGTTGAGAACATAATCAGACATTTTGATCTAAACTAGAAGTTAGGCTTTCATTAATGAAAAAAAAAATTTCAGTAAATGGTTGCTAGTCAATTGTTCAATATCCTCTTAATTCTCCTTCCCTGCTATAGGACCTGTTCCAATCATAATTTAAAATCCAGAAAAGCAGCAATCTATGTCCATCTAATTGTCTACAAATCTGTTTTTACAAAGTTCTTATCTGCTTGAAAGGCAGAGATAAAGAGAATATCTTCTGTCTCCTGGCTTACTCCTCAAATGACCACAAGAGCCAGCTCTGAAACAAGCTGAAGTCAAGAGCCAGGAACTCCATCCTGCTCTCCCACATGGGTGGTAGGGATCAAGTACCTGGGCTATCCTCTGCTGTCTTCCCAGATGCACTAACAGGAAACTTGATTGGAAGCTCAGTATGCAGGACTCAAGCTGGCACTCTGAGATGCAATGGTATTTTCACAGCAGTGGCTTAATCTGCTACAGCGCCAGCCCTTCTACATGCTTAGAAACTACCTATCAACAGTAATACATTTTTGTAGATTTTAATTTCTCAAATTTTAATGACCTTCATATATATCTTAAATTAATGGGTAAGTGAATCCATTGTATTCATCATTAGTTGAACATCACTTTAGAAGAATATTGGAAGATTATTGTTACTTAAAAATTTGCTCCCTGGCAAGAGACTATGTAATGATTTCCAGGGAAGACATTTTATACCTAAGAATGCTCACTCTTAACAGGTTATTTCAATATATTAATTAGTGGAATTAATTAGCCATGCGTAATGAGTTAAAGTACATAAAATGTAGGCAGTAGGCTTATTCCTAGAGTGCCTTTGAACTATTTAAAAGTTGTACATCATGGTAGGCTTTTTTTTAAAACCATTTTTAATTCTTTTGTTTTTTTTTTTAAGATTTATTTATTTTTATTGGAAAGTCAGCTACACAGAGAGGAGGATGGACAGAGATCTTCTGTTTGATAATTCACTCCCCAAGTGGCCACAAAAGTCGTAACTTAGCCAATCCAAAGCCAGGAGCCTTTTCCAGGTTTCCCATGCAGGTGCAGGGTCTCAAGGCCTTGGGCCATCCTCGACTGCTTTCCTAGGCCATGAGCAGGGAGCTGGATGGGTAGCAGGGGCCGCCGGGATTAGAACCGGTGTCCATATGGGATCCCGGCATGTGCAAGGCGAGGACTTTAGCTACTAGGCTAACCACGTTAGCCCCCATAGTGGGCTTTTTAAACCCTGGGTGGATTATTTCTAAGCAGTAACTTTAAAGTATCAAAACTTACAGTTTAAGAGGCACTGGACTGAGGCCAGCATGGCTATCCACAGCCTGCAGCTGTTGACATCCCATGTGGATGCTGGTTCATGCCCCAACTGCTCTACTTTTGATCCAGCTCTCTGTTCGTGGCCTGGGAAAGGAGTGGAGGATGGATCAAAGCCTTGGGCCCCTAAGCCCATATGGGACATCAGGAAGAGGTTCCTGGCTCCCAGCTTCAGATCAGCTCAGCTGTGGCCATTGTGGCTATCTGAGGAATGAACCAATGGATGGAAGACCTTTTTCTCTGTCTCCCTTTCTCGCTCTGTAAAAAAAATATGCCTTTTAAATAAACATAAATCTTAAGAAAAAAAGGCACTGCAGTGCAGCTGTTAAGTGTCAGGCCCAAGAGTTTGGCTGCAGCTTACCATTGCTACTCAGATAATGTTGGCCAAGTTATTCCTGACTTTTGTGTTTTGTGTTCTTTGGTTGGGAATAAATGTGTTAAAATGTGCAAAACACTCAGAATAACATCTGGCACTCAAGTACTTATTCAACTGTGAGTCATTATACTTTTTTAAACCAAAGTCTCTACAGGTTTAATGTTGCAGATGGTCTCCAAATAGAGGATAAAAATCCAGTATTTAACACCCTTTCATGTTAGAGTAAAAAGACCATGTACTTTGAATTCTCTTGAAACACCAAAGCAGCATAATGGAAGACGAATGATTATTTTCCCTGGTAAACTAACCGACTAATACCTTCTGAGAAATACAGAATGAGCATGCCCTCTGTATGCTATTCTAACGGACCTGATGATGGATAACCTCTCTGATAAACATTATTGGTTTCTTTTTTTTTTTTTTTCTGCTTCTTTAGGGACAGTTCTGATTCCAGGAACCACTCAGCTGACCCAGAAAGACATCCTGTACAGACTACAATCTTCAAAAGCAACATGCATTATTACGGATGACACCCTAGCCCCAGCAGTAGATGCTGTTGCTCTTAAGTGTGAAAATCTGCGCTCCAAATTAATCGTGTCTCAGAACTCCAGAGAGGGGTGGGGAAACCTCAAGGAGATGATGAAGTGAGTCACTAAAATGGCTGTACAACTGCTTCCTGAAAAGAAGGATGAGGATAAAAAAACATTTAACCCTACTGTGATCAGAAATTGCTAATTAAACCAATCTATGTGCTGCTAACTGGCTGAGGTTCGGAAACAGTGCAGGTTTTTTGTTTTATCTGTAGGATGGATGTGCAGGAAGCAGTCCTGGAGGCTGGGATTTGTGTACAGGAAGTTCATTAAAGGAGGTTTCTTGGGATAAATGCCAGAGAAGGAAGGGGGAATGTTGAGGAGCTATAGGAAGAGATTTATTTGCAATATATTCCCCGCAAGATGAAGCAGCTTGTCCAAGGCTGCTCAAACAGCTCCTCAAAGGTGTTTCTAGCCAAAACAAGAGGCCCTGGCCTATGTTATACCCACTGCTCAGTAACTGAAGGTGGGCTGTCCCTAGGAGACCCGGCTTTGAAAGGAGACAACTGTGTTCAGCCAAGGCAATCTACAATGAGCTCCCAGTCTCTGCAGAAGATTGAAAGATGCCATCACAGCATCAAGCACAGAGCTGCCATCATCTTCCAGGGAAATATGTGGCTGACAGCAACAGTGCGGTCAGGTTATACACTCAATGGGTGCTGCTGTAAAACTAAATTACACTCATGTTCCAGGTGCTTCCAAGGTGTTTGGGAACCCTTGCCACATACTGGTTATATTTTAGTATTAGGCTGGCAGCAAATCCTCTCCCTAGAATAAGCTTCTTGTCTTTACACAAGGATGTAGGGACATGAATGCAACTATGGACTTCCTTTAAAATAGCTAACATTGACTAAGTTCTTACCTAAGGTCAATACTGTACTAAAAAAAAAAAGCCCTATGATTGCAATTGCAATATATAGGTCACATTTATATGGCCCTTGTTGTGTCAGAACTTCCAACTTCAAATATAACAGCATTATCTCATTTAAACCTCACAATAATCCACGATGTAGGTATTGTAATTACACAAATGAATAAGGTCAAATGCTAATATATTTCCAAGTCGGGTAGCCTAGTTTCTTAGTCCACATTCCTAATTGCTTTAGTTACTGTCACTTATAGTAAGAGATTGGTAACTAACTGCTTAGGTTTTGAGGGTAAGCCTAATCTATGATAGAAATAACAGATACACAGCTGTATTACCACTTTTTCTACATATGATAATTATAGACAAAATACTTGGTCTACCTTTGTTAGGGTTCAAAAACAGCTTTTTCTGTATTTCTCATTACACGCATATTTCTTTTCTGCATTTATAGCCCAACACTCCTAAACAAACATCTATGCTTTTTGACCCTTGTGTGCAGAATTTTATTTCTTCTCAGCTGCCCTAATGTTGTGGCTTATACAGAAAGCCTAATTATCCTTTCAAACCAAAAGAGCTTTTGTCTCCTGTTTAGCTGGAATCCTTTCTTCTTGAGGTGATGCTTAGATTTTCTTCAAACCTATTGTTTTCTATATGCAGCACTACATAGACTCTCATATGGGAAACAGAATAACCATACTTTCATGAGGTGGCAAGCATTTTTCTAGGAAAATACATAGACGATAAACGTCTAAAGCTTTTTAAACCACAGTCTCTCACAACTCTTCAGTCCTGCTATTGGTAGTGTGGAGGCAACCACAGATAATACGTTAGCGAGTGGGCATGGCTTTGCACCAACACAATTGTATTTATAAAAAAGGGAGCAAGCCAGATTTGGACTGTAAGCCCTAGTTTGCAGATCCTTGCTATTATAAATGACTTGTATTAATGTGTATTTTTAAAGTCACATTGGAAAGTAACTATACTGGAGAAAAAGGAGAAATTCTTTATATATGTGTATTCATGATTACAAAATCATAGAATCTTCGATATGCTGGGGAGAAATAAAACTCAAACTTTTAAAATGTTTCAATCTCTCATAGTAGAAATCCATGAAGTCAGTCATCATAGTGGGATTTTGATGGAAAAGTTTAGTTTGATTTTAGAAAGCACTTAAAAACATGAAGAGAGGAATTTACCTGGGAATTCAAACTAAGTTGCTGGTGCCTGATTCACAAGTCAAATAGATGGTCTCTTCAATCCTCTTCAGTGATAACAACCGAGGATGCTGTGTTTAACATGCAGAATCACTGTACTTTTCCTTTGCAGACAGGCCAGTGACAACCACACCTGTGTGAAGACAAAACACAATGAGATGATGGCCATTTACTTCACCAGTGGAACAAGTGGACCTCCTAAAATGATTGGACACACCCACAGCAGTTTCGGTTTAGGATTATCTGTAAATGGAAGGTACTTCCACAGAACTGCAGCTTGCTTGATGCATTAGAACTGCAATGATGATGATTCATGTACTGGTCTCCTAAATTTCTTCTATAAATGTAGCATCTTTTACAGATTTAATAATTTTACACAAACAATGATACATGTTAAATTCTTAGAACATTAACAAATTCATATATCAGGTCTTTTGCTTCTCCAGGTTCTGGTTGGATTTAACACCATCAGATGTGATGTGGAATACCTCAGACACAGGCTGGGCAAAGTCTGCCTGGAGTAGTGTTTTTTCTCCATGGATCCAGGGATCATGTGTCTTTGCACACTATTTGCCCCGTTTTGAGCCAACTTCCATCTTGCAAGTAAGACAAAACCAGGAGATCAATATTTAGACATGCATTAGCAGTATTATTGACAAGACTTGTGAATAAAGTAGACAATGAGATTATCTACTTGATATTTCACATTCAGAAAGTCTGTAAGTCTGAAAGATGTACTTAGAAAAAGTACAAATACATTTACACTAAAATAACCAAAATTGAAATTGTGCTGAAACACTTCAATACTTATTAAAGCTTTAGTAAGAGCAAAAGTTTACTTTTCTTTTTAAAATTATTTTATTTTGATAACTTTTACATAGTTGATTAGGGCACAAAGGGTCAATGGCTACAGGAAAGTGGGTAAGACCATTGTTTCCACATTTTTTTGTGTGTGTATCTGGGGTAAGGAGGGAGATAAAGGGAGAAGCCACACCCAGCCTCTCACCCATCCCAGGTCCCTGATGTGGGGTATGCGTCGAGGGTCCTGCTCAAGTGGTTTTTTAGTTCAATAGTTGTGAATTTCTGCCAATCTCGCCATTCCAAGCATGATGAAATCGCTCCAGAATCCACTGGCTGACATAGTTCACCTTAGAGTCTCTGCCCAGGTATTCATTGCCAACTCTTGGCTGGGGTAGTTGATTGATTTATTCTGTCCTCCATCCTCTGTTGTAGTACCAGGTGTCCTCTGCAGGTTCTGATGGACTGCCATATCCTCCATGTGCACCTGGATATGCTGCTCCATCTGAGAAGAGTTTCCTTTTCTGAATTGCAGACACTTTCCCAGTTTCCTATCACCGTGTTCTGCTCAGCACCGACTGCATACCGATTGCTTACACAGAAGGACATGACAAGGTAAGAAATTTGAATAAATAGACATTTAGTGAGAAGCTCCATAATGAATAGGCACAGGATTTAGTGATCTCTTCCTCTTCCTCCTTTTTCTGACTGATGTTCTGTAAATAATTATTGTGTCTACGGAGTTTTCCCCAAATAAGGACAGGAAGAGGAGGGCTCAGCCAGGTCTCTAGCTGGATCTGGTGTTACAGGTAAAGTGTTTACTTTTTGGATGGTGGCTGAGCTGAGAAGTGTAGAGCCCTAACCCAAGAAGTATAAAAACAGATTACATATTTTTTTCATTGTATTACTTATCCCATTTGAAAGGAAGGATTGATAGCTTGAAAAAACAATCACTTTCCTATACTCAAAACACCCAATCCTTTCTATTCTCCAGATGGAAGGATTTTTTCTCCCACTGACCAATTCTCCAAAAATTTGCAGGGTGTCTGTTCCTGATGTCAGAATAGTTTGTTTATTTTGCATTGTAGAAGGGAAACAGGAAAGAGCTAAAAACACATTTTATGTAGAAGTTCATTAGAAGTAACTGTAATTTCCGCTTCTCTCTATTTTTCCTCCCACACCCAACTTCCTACATGTTCTCTGAGAAGTTATAAATTCAAAAGTTTAAAGCACTGTGTAAGTGCTGGGGAACCAATCAACCCTGAAGTGACTGAACAATGGAGAAACCACACTGGACTGGATATCTACGAAGGATATGGACAAACGGAAACGGTAACTGACCACAACTCCAAAGCAGGGCTGGACTCAATATACTCAGATGTACAAAAGCTTTAGTTTGCTTGAGGGACAGGAAAGGACTAGAGTGGCAGCCATTTGGGGAGTGAAATATGCACGATACATGAATAAATGACTTTTAAGTTACTTACAACATTACCTTACTTTTCTTCTTTTGAACCAGGTACTAATCTGTGGAAATTTTAAGGGAATGAAAATCAAACCTGGCTCAATGGGGAAGCCTTCTCCTGCCTTTGACGTCAAGGTTTGTACATACCCTCCCTGGAGAACATTTCACAGCCCAGTCTGTTTTCCAACTACTCTCAAACATTCTCCTTGTTTCAGGGATAAGTCCACGTTATTTTGATTGCTTCTTAGTTTCCATGCAAAGATGGAAATGACTTTAAAATGCTACCTGATTTTCCAAATACTTATACTGTATCATACAATTCTAAACTTTATAAATATGAACACAGTTAGTTCCTAGGAAGAAAGAACCTGTGGTAGACATTGATGAGGCACGGAGAGGTTAAAATAACTCACGTGGAGGCATCCAGCTAGTTGTTGCTAGAATTAGGATTCAGTTTAAAGTAATCTGGCTATAATATTGGTACTCTTAACCATACCACCACACTGCCCTTTCCTCCAAGGGATCATGGAGATTAAAACAGGCTACAGTTTATAGTAACTACAGCACTCTCCCTCCCTATCTACCTCTTATAGCCTGCTCCCCAACAAAAGCCTCAGTCTCGGGCAAACAATAATGGTGACCCTAACAACAACAGGTCTGATCTCAGAGACTTCCTGTGAGGACTGGAAGAGCATAGCAGAAAGTCTGGCACATAATGTGGCTTTCAAATATAAGTGCTGTGATGACTCACGTCTCTTTCACATGCTCCTTTGAAAATCATCTAAGAAAAAAGGGAAGGGGAGCCCTAGTGCCAATCTGTAAACCTATTTAATAGTTGATTGGCTAATGGGTAGCATTAGTTAGGAGAAAGGATCAGTAATAATTACATATGATCAGATCTGCATTGCAGGTAAGCTGCCATCTCACACAGCTGTGTTCTTTTCGTCTCTTCCTGCTTAGTACCAACCCCAATATGCTAGAGCCATCAGTCTCACAGGCATTTGTGGTGATCCCACCTGGAATGCAATCCAGCCGTTTCCCCACTAATACAAGCCCAGTGGTTTTTCTGGAACAGTAACTTTACAAAAGTGATGTGGATAAAAGGAAAACATCTCCACCTCACCATCGCTGCCTTCACTTTCCTGAGGACTGTATCACTGGGCCTCTTGCTATTCAGCCGAAAGCATTTGCAATACTGTTTTGGCATCTGTGCTCTAGACAGTTGAATATCAGATTCCTACAGTTCCAAGGCCCAAGGTTCCTAATCTCCACGTTGAGATATTTTAGTATCCCTAAACAACAAGGAATGTGATTTTTCCCCAGGCAGAAGATTTTATCCATTTGTCCTATTAAAGAATAGCCTATTATTTCACCAATAATTGTTTAATATCTAGAGCCAAATATTTCTTTGGATGGCTGGGTTGGGAGTTTTTTATTTTCAGGAACTTAAAAGCAAAATTTGCACATTTAGACTTTGCTGCTTTTGGAACATAAGCCCCCTTTCCCTTTGGAAAGAGCATGGTAAGAATTACACTTACTCTGTATGCAAGTGGTACTTTCATGTTTGCAAGTACCTAGTGATCTATATAAAGGTTGTGTTTGACACTTACAGTCATTTAGAGCAGAAAGCATACAAGCAATCAACCTGACAAATTCAATTTTAAAGATTCTATTAAACCTGCTGAAGACATTGCATAGAAAAGGATAATGATTAGAAATGCAGGCTTTGGTCTACAGTTGACATCTAAATTCCAGTTTAATCATGTGGTGTTAATTAAACTTCTTCATATTTTCTTCATTCATAAACTGGGCATTGTAGCAGTTCTAACCAGACAAGATTATTGTACGATAATAAATATGAAGTACTCAGAGCTTTAGCATTTTCTACTGAGCATGCAGTAAGTGCCTGATGAGTAATGACCACTAACAGGTATTTCAGGGAACCATGAGGATTAGCGGGAGGGTAACAGAGCAGAACTTTGGCTTCTGCATCACTATCTCAGAGAACATTCTCCTTTTTCTCTGAATACGTGCTTCAGTAGATTTTTTCAAGACTTATTTTTGTTGCAAAGCCAATAAGATATACAGAGAGGGGGAGAGATAGAGAGGAAGATCTTTCGTATGATGGTTCACTCCCCAAGTGACTGTAATGGCTGGTGCTGCGCCGATCTGAAGCCAGGAGCCTGGAACTTCCTCCAGGTCTCCCACGTAGGTGCAGGATCCCAAGGCTTTGGGCTGTCCTCAACTGCTTTCCCAGGCCACAAGCAGGGAGCTGGATGGGAAGCGGGAACACCAGGATTAGAACCGGCGCCCACATGGGATCCTGGTGCATTCAAGGCAAGGACTTTAGCCAATAGGCCACAACGCCGGGCCCAGAAGTAGATTTTTTAATGTTGTGTAGTGAAAGAATTTAAAACTACTAATGAAGATATTGAGAAAAATATTATCAAGATAACACTGTTAAATAATACCAGTTGTAAAACTGTATATTATAAAGTGTCTCTTCTACTCTTATGTCAATATTGTTTCAAAGACTATCAGCAAAATGTAATTGTTACTAGACAGAAGACTTTTAAGACAATTTAATTCTTTCAGATTTTAGTAGCTTGAAGAATTTAAATAAATATATCTTCGAAGTTTAAAGTATAGGGCCTGGCAGGGTAGCCTAGTGGCTAAAGTCCTTCCATCGCACACACTGGGATCCCAAATGGGTGCCAGTTCTTATCCCGGAAGCCCCAGTTCCCATCCAGCTCCCTGCTTGTGGCCTGGGAAAGCAGTTAAAGATGGCCTAAAGGATTGGGAGCCTGCACCCACATGGAAGACTCAGAGGAGGCTCCGGGCTCCTGGTTTCAAATAGGCACAGCTCCAGCCATTGTGGTCGCTTGGGGAGTCAGTCAAGGGATGGAAGATCTAACAAAAAAGAAAAAAGTTTAAAGTATATCTGAAATGTTTTTGACGTCTATTTTTAAACAGTACAAAGCAAAACAAAACAAAGTTAAAATTCTCTCAAATACTCAAATTACTTTTTTTTTAATCCTAGATTTTAGATGCAAATGGTAATGTTCTGCCTCCTGGACAAGAAGGAGACATTGGAATTCAAGTTCTACCTAACCGACCATCTGGCCTTTTCACTCATTATATAGTAAGAGACTTTTTAAAATAATACCTTATCTTCTATTTATTTCTCAAAAGTGCTTGGCAACTAGCCTTAATCATCACAAGAGTAGTTACAAGTATACCTATGATATATTTGATCTGTTCTTCCTCTTTTTTATCTTAATGTATCCACTTGAAAGATAGTTACATGGAAAGAGAGAGCTGATCTTACATTCAGTATTACACTCCTCAAATGGCTACAATAGCCAGGATTGGGCTAGGCCCAAGGCAGAAGCCAAGTTCCACCTGGGTCTCCCAAATGGCAAAGCCACTCTCTGCTGCTTTCCCAGGCACGTTCATTAGCAGGGAGCTTAGAAGCAAAACAGCCAGGACTCATCCAGCACTCAAATGGGACGCCAGCACCCATGGTATACAGCTGTTGCAGGCAGCTGCTTAACTTGCTGAATCGCAACTCTAGCTCTATTCAATCCTTTCTTGAGAGGTTTGTTGTCCTGAACAGACTGGGACTTGAAGAAACCACCAAATGCCTGCTAAAAGAGTATGCTGGCTATGTAACTATTCTAGGCCCATGGAAGCCTCTTAACACCCAGGCAATCTTAACATCCACTGATAGACAAACAGGACCATGCTTATTCCTTCTCAGGAGAGATAGGAAAATGGGATGGGCAGTGAGATTAACTCCTCTCACTATAGATTTTCCAATTCCCTTATTCTCAGCAAGCATACTTCCATCTCCAATTGTAATGTCCACATAAAGTTTATATCAATACTTCCAGAGTCTACCTGTCAATGCTCTATTTCAATCAATGCCCTTCTTATGCTGGAGTTTCAGGGGACAGTCCTGTGCCTTTGTGAACAACAAAAGAAAAAATATTCTTGGAATAATTAGGTGTGTTTTTTTCAATCCCGAGTGGTGCACTTCTCTCATTAACCAGCACTACTTAGTGAAAGACTTCATATAGCCTATCCTTCTGAGCGCTCTGCTCCTAAAATATTATTTTATGCTCCATCTAAGTAAATTCTCAAGGTGAAAGTGTGCTTAGTCTTACAGTCTGTTCTTCTGATGTTGGGCCACTTCATGTTGTAATTTTTATCTGTGTTTTACATTTTGGGCTCTTGTTCGTTCTAATGTGTCTCTATTTCCTTCAAGAAAATATAAAGCTCACTGAAGAATTAGCACTCCCAGTAACACTAAAAAATGCTATTTGTTTTGCAGGATAATCCTTCAAAAACATCTTCGACTCTCCGAGGCAATTTCTATATCACTGGAGACAGAGGTTATATGGATGAAGATGGATATTTCTGGTTTGTTGCAAGATCAGATGATGTCATATTATCCTCTGGGTAATAGTCTCTTCCACCTGTGCATATATCTGTGTCAACTGACCATCAGCATTCTGGAGTGAACTTGCATGAACTCTTACGCTGTCATTTATTCTCCAGGTACAGAATTGGACCATTTGAGGTGGAGAGTGCTCTGGCTGAGCATCCTTCAGTTGCAGAGTCAGCTGTTGTGAGCAGCCCAGACCCCATCAGGGGAGAGGTAAAATAACTGATATATCTTAACTAAAAGCCGTTCACAACCTAACACCTGCTTTTAAAAAGTCATTTGAAGGCTGAGCCTTCAGGACCCTGGTTGGCTTGGCAGTCACTTGCTATTCCAGTGTTTTAAGAGAGCAAAGGGCTGACGTGAGCAAATGCACCCACACAGGTATGAGGTGTTGGTTAGCCAGAGTAAGGCAGAAAATTTGAGTATTTACCCAACATTAGTGGACTGCACCTTTTCCTGACAGAAGATACAGGTATTTCTCAAGTCAAATGTCCATGCACAAATGATGGTCTGGCGCATGTCACAGGCAGCTTTGTTCCTGGGAGTGGACTTTTTCTAGCTGGGCTGGGCCTTTCCTCAAATCAGGTCCTGTCAGGTCACTGCAGGAAAATTACCAGAAAAAATGAAGGCATGAGGACAATATTCCAGGTACTGATCATTTTAATCCACTACCATCTATAATCTTGGGCAATATTCTTTTGTGCATTTTCATATTTGCTTTTCTTAAAATTGTTGCATTTTTTAACTTTACAAAATTTCTAACACTATGAGCTAACCATTATTTTTAAGAAGTTATTTATTTGGCCTGGCACAATGACTCAATTGGCTAAATCTTCATCTCCAAGTGCTGGTATCCCTTATGGGCACCCATTTGTGTCCCTGCTGCTCTATTTCCCATTCAGCTCCCTGCTTATGGCCTGGGAAAGCAGGAGAGCATGGCTCAAAGCCTTAGGGGTTTGCACCCATAGAGGAGACCTGGAAGAAGTTCCTGGGTCCTGGCTTTGGATCAGCTCAACTCTGGCAGTCGTGGCAATTGGGGGAGTGAACCAGCTGTCTCTCCTCTATGTAAATCTGCTTTACCAATAAAAATTAAAAATGTAAGAAAAAATTATTTGAAAGGTAGAACAATGGAAAAAGGGAAACACACACATGGGGGTGACGGGAGAGATCTTCCAACCACCTGTTCACTATGGTTCTAAATGGTTGGATGTCTGCAATCACCAGGTGTTGGGACAGGAGGAGCTAGGAACTCCAGTCTGGTCTCCCACAAGGGTGGCAGGAGTCCAGGAAGTTGGTCATCCTTTACTGCCTTCCCAGGCACAGGAACAGGAAGCAAGACTAGGTATGGAGCAGTTGGGACTCCAATTTGTACACTCTAATATGGAATGACGACACCACAGGCAGCTACTCATCCTACTGTGCCGCAGTGTTGGCCCTACCAGCTTATTTTTAAGCTAGACACATGAATCTTTCAATTCAATAAGCTTTCGCTTGCTATTGGTGTCATAACACAAAGATTAAGCTGCTGCCTATGACACTGGCATCCCATGAACATTAGTGAAGTCCTGGATGCTTCATTTCTCGTCTACCCCCTGATAACGTGCTTATAAATGCAGAAGATGGCCTAAATACTTGGGGGCTACTGCCACCCATGGGAGATTCATATAGAGTTCTACACCCTTGGTTTTGGCCTTGACCAGTGTCAGCAGTTGCAAATATTTGAAGAGTGAATCAGCAGGAAGATCTGGCTCCCTTTCTCTCTTGTCTTTCAAGTAGATAAGTAAATATTTGAAAACCTAATCTTTCAGTCACTTAAGTACAGGATGTTTAATCATAAAAAGAGTCACGAGGGCTATCTTGGAACCACGCCTACAGGGAAGCATTATTCCATAGCAAACTCTGGGCTGGTCATCTGGTATATTCTAGTTGAGTCAGACTCACGCCTCTTGATGAGATAATGAATAACAGTGTTTCAGGAGAGAACACGGTAGATTCCAAATACACAATTGGATGGGAAGTGGAGCAGCCGGGACATAAACTGGTGCCCATGGGGGATTCTGGCGCTTGCAAGGTGAGGATTTAGCCAGTGAGCCATTGCATCAGGCTCCAAGATACACATGTGAAAGGCTAAAAGGGAGGATGGGCCTGTCTTTCTTCTCCATTTAAAGTCCCAAAACTCAAACCTGGTGCAATGGTCTAACAGCTAAATCCTCTCCTTGCATCGTTGAGATTTCATATGGGTGCCAGTTTGTGTCCTGGCTGCTCCATTTTCCATCCAGCCCACTCCCTGTGGCCAATTAAAGCAGTAGAAGATGGCCCAAATTCTTGGGACCCTGTCCCCATGTGGGAGACTGAAGAAACTCCTGGCTCCTGGCTCGGATCAGCTCAGTTCCAAATGTTCTTGCTGCTTGAGGAGTGAACCAGTGTATGGAAGATCTTTCTCTGTCTCTCCTCTCTGTAAAATCTGCCCTTTCAATAAGAAATTTAAAAGTCCCCAAACTCTAAGCTGGATTACCCAAAACATTTCAAAGGATAAATTCTGGAGTCTGAGAATATAAAATGATGAAGTCTTTCTTTGGTCAGTTTAAAAGCAAAACCACTACCATTTCTGCCCTTCCTCCATAGTCAAGAGGTTGCTGGCGTCATGAGAATCTTGTCTAAAGAAAGCATGGTCTTGGTGAACTGTTCCTTCCAATGGGGAGACTACTGCTTATAACAGCAACACTGAGGGAGAAGATCCAGAAGCTAGGCTAAAAACAGGCTTGGTCGTTACACAAGAGGCTTCTAAGAGGAAACCTTATGCAAGGATGTATAGGCAGTAAGTCAAAGGCACAAACAACAGAACCAGGCCGGAAAGCAGATTTCAAGATGTAGTTAGATGGATTCCCAGAACTCCTCTTATATTGGATACACACCAGGAGGTGTGGAAATCAACTGGCTGTCTTAAGAGCACAGAGCTGGGATCAAATTATGTTCAACACTCCGACCCACCTGACCATGCACTTAAGATTCCCAGTTAGAGAAAGCAAGAAGACATTCTTCAAGAAAAATACACAATTCATCTTCCTGGTGTTTCAAATATTTATTACAGGTGGTAAAGGCTTTCATTGTTCTGAACCCTGAATACAAGTCACATGATCAAGAACAACTGAAAAAGGAGATCCAGGAGCATGTAAAACAAACCACAGCACCCTATAAATACCCCAGAAAGGTAAGCATCCTGTGACAGGCGTTTTCTGTGTTCTAGAAACTATCAGTGATATATTTTTCCTTCTTAATGAAATATCAAGCAAACTATGCCAAATATTGTCAATTAATAATATTTGGACACCAACTAGAAACTTCAAAATTAAAATGAAACTCCTAATTTAATGCATCTAGTCATTTGGGTCACTGGACTTGCATTAAATGCTAAATATCAAGAGAATTTTCCTAAGCAATACCCATTTCTCTTTTTGCTTGACATCAAAAACTCAAGCTAAGGCCTAATCTTTCAATTATCTTAATTCATTAAAATAAATAAAGAAATAAAGCCCGAACTACTATATAGCTGGCTTTATCTAACAGGGAAATCTGGGTAATTTTCCTCCCCTTCATACCAACAGGTAGAATTTATTCAAGAGCTGCCAAAGACCATCAGTGGGAAGATAAAAAGGAATGAACTAAGGAAGAAAGAGTGGAAAACAATTTAAAATCATTCCATTAATATAGTGTCCAAACATGGTACTTATAAATTTGCAGAAGTCACAAAATTACACAGAGGCGATACAAAAATGTGGCAATAAGTTTATAAATTGTTTTAAAATATCTTGTGGTTATATTAAAGGCTGAATTTTGAAATAAAACATGCAGTAAATTATTCTCCATGAGTGTTCATGTTTCTGTAATTTGTTAAAATTCTCTCCTTAACTGTTGAGAAATGTGTAAGTGTATAGAAACAACTTCTGAACAAATATTTGCCACATTGTTTTGCAAATATGAGCTGAATAAATTCTAAATACTGATATATAAAACCAGAACCAAACTTCAATCATGAAATAAAACCAAACAACTCTTAAGACTTTTCAAAAAATAAAAAGTATCAGAATAATTTAAAGTGCAAGTTTCTTCCATAAAATGGACTAGAGATTCATATCACTCATATTTTCACTCAAATAACTTAAAAATGGTTTAGAAGCCAGCTTGTGGCACAGCAAGTGAAGTTGCTGACTGCAAAGCTGGCATCCCAAATAAGTGTGGATTCATGTCCCTGGTGTTCCATTTTTGATTCAGCTCCTTGCTGATGGTCTGGAAAAGCCAGTGGAGTATGGCTGAAGTGCATGGGCCCCTGCCGTTCATGTGGGAGACCTGGAAGAGGCTCTCGTTTCCAGCCTTCAGCCTGGCCCAGCCGTAGTCATTGCAGTCATTTGGGGAGTAAACCAATGGATGAAGCATCTTTCTCTCTCATTTGTTGTAGCTCTGATTTTCAAATAAATACATCTTTAAAAAAGTTTAAATATTTGTTTCAAGGTCTAACTATAAATGGAGGATGTCATATACTATTGTTGTTAATTACATTTAACCTAATAATATACACAATGTTTCATTTATGGTTCTTTAAGAACATATAATTTCAACAATAATATATAAGACATAAGTAGGATAAGACATTATCAGAATATTCATATTTGGGAATTTAAGGAACAATGAGGATTCATGTTTGAACAACAGAATACAAATATTAGACAAAAGGTAATTCAAGTGTAAGGTGATGAAATTTATCTTTTCTGTTTGAGTTTATGTATGTGTATAATAGTCTTAGTCTAGAGAGCTTATACATGTTCTTAAATCTTTTCTGCACTAAAAATCACAGTAAAGTTTGGCTATGAAGCCTGTCAGTTCCTCATTGAAGGCCTTAGTTTCAAACTATTTTTAACAGAAAAAGTTCTGTCAGAGATACGGTTTATTTCAGGAGAATTAAAAACAAGCTGCCCTGTGGAAAGAGACAGAACCATGCCGTTGGCTTTTTCCTTCTGAAGAGTGTGTTCCCATTTGAAATAACCACAACACTTTCTGTTTTCGTGGTATTTCCCAGTAGGGCAACAATAGAAGACTTTTCCATGGTTTGGTCCATTATTAGAAACAATAAGTCTCTTAGCTCTTCGGCCACACTTGCATAAAGGAGGTGTCATTTTCCCATTGTTCCAAGGCTCTCCTGAGTTAACCGTAGGCGTTAATACAGGGGAGAGAACTTCCCGGGAAGAATTTCTTACTACAGAGCAATCAGATGATGTAGGCTTTTCTTCATGGGTACTAAAGTTTTGTTTTTTTGCTGATAGGAAGGTTGGGGGACTAAATGGCTTCCTTTTGTTTCCACCCAAGTGAAGCGGATGTTTTCCCAGATCTGAAGCATGAGATGCATTGGCAGTAACAGTACTGAAGGAACTTGATTTGTGTCCGGGTATCTTAAAGGCAGAAACATTTGAACCTAGATCTCTGGTTTGCTTTACATTATAAATAGTAGTGTGTGGACTCTTGTACACAACTGATTTGGAGGTCTCAAACTTTTGAGGAGTTTCCTCTATGTCTTCCAAGTTTTCACAGCTTAGCACTTCTGGTTCTTCGAAAACCACTGATCTTTCTCCAGAACTAAAAGACATACCTGAGTCACTATTGGGAGGTATACAATCTACACTTTGATCAGGCTGAGATGCTGGCAATAAAATTACATCCTCCCAGTCAGTCAACACAGGTAAACAGTCAGGAGTAGAATTCATTTCCACGTCAGAGCCATGATTAACACATGGAATGGTGGTAGGAACAAGCACTAATTCTGAACTAGTTGTTAAAGACTTAGATTTGGTATTATATGCAAGATGGTCGTTTTTTCTTTGCTTCTGTAAATGGAGAGATGAATTCAAGGTAGGAGATGACAGCTGCTCCAGAGAAGAAGGAGGTTTGGCATTCAAAAGAGGTAAGCAACTTTTGACGTTGTGAAAACCGGCTTTTACGTTGTCCTTCTGTTTGGAGTGATCCTGCTCTAACTTCTTGGGAGAATTCATACAAACTGACCTCATTTGAACTTTTTCACAAGAATTTATGGTATTTTTAGGCTCCCTATCACATCTGCTGGGCCTCTGGATGTTAACATTGCAGGAAGAGGTTTCTTCAACTTGATTTCTATTCAAATTTCTGCTCAGAATGTTGGGATTCTTCTCAGTGGGAACCTATGATTCCACAGACAAATCCAACAGCTTTACAAACTGCGCTCATAATTTCTTCAGTATACATTACAGATGTGACAAATAAGAAAAAAATCACTGATTTATAAATGACTGCACACATGAAATCTACATTTTGATGAACCTACAACTGCTTCTGGAGTTGTAGATGACAGAACCAAAAGGCAAGATGTCACTAACCTTGTTCAATGACCTTGTGATCTTCATTAGGCAACCATCTCTGATCATCTTCCAGGCAAGGAGGGCAGTGTTCCGAGCATCATCCAACCCTGAATCAGACAGTGAACTTAGTAATTATAACAGAAAATATCCCACTTCAAGAATCTGGGTTATACTATTAGTTTTACAATCATTTACTAACAATAATCACAACGCTGTGGCAGCATTACCAATAAAATATGTCCCATACGTACAAAGAAGGACGTGAAAACTTGTCAGTTCCCCAAGTGTGACCAACAACCTTTAGGGACTATGATTTATGAGTAATCTAATAGTGTTATTCTATTTTTTCACTAGTCCACTGTACCAACTAGACACACTACATTTTCTTTGGCTACTTTAAAAATTTTTTTAAAGCTTTATTTATTTTTATTGTAAGCTCAGATTTACAGAGAGGAGGAGAGAGAGGAAGATCCTCTGTCCACCAATTCACTCCCCAAGTAGCCGCAACAGAGATGAGTTGAGCTAAAGCCAGGAGCCAGGAGCTTCTTCTAGGTCTCTGTGGGTGCAGGGTCCCAAGGCTTTGGGCCAACCTGCTTTCCCAGGCCAAAAGCCAAGAGCTAGATGGGAAGTAGGAGTGCCTGGATTAAACTGACACCCATATGGGATCCAGGTGCGTGCAAGCAGAGGACTTTTGCCACTAGGCTTTCGTGCTGGGCCCTTGGCTAATTGTTTTTAGCAAACAGAAAGCCACCACCAGATGGCAGTCTTTATGCTATAATAGATTATCAAAGTGCTAACTGCAGACTTGAATTGTTATAGATCAGGAACTTTCTCTACATGGATGAATATTTCTGATTAACGAAACTGCCAAAAATGAGGTTAATGTGAAAGATTACTATGATAGACTTATATAATAAAATTATTTAAAATTCATACTAACCAGAATGTTCTCTTCCTGAGAATTCTATTCCCACTTCCTGCAAGGCACCACTTAGACCTTTTGGTTTTCTCCTATAGAAAAGCTAATCAAATAAAAGATGACACAGCAGAAAAGGAATGATTAGTATTTAAAAGGCTATGTATTGACTACTTAAATTTTTAGTTTCATTAGGTTGGAAATATGTAATTTTTAAATACTTTCAGAAATATATTTATGTGAACAAATATATATATATAATTAATTCAAAAGGCAGAAAGAAATCAATCTCCCATTCATTGGTTCACTCTCCAAATGCTTATAACAGCTGGGCTCCACCAGGCCAACACCAAAAGCTGGGAATTCAATCCAAGTCTCCCACATGGGCAGCAAGGACCCAAATTCCGAGCCATCGCCTACTGCTTTCCAGGGTGCACATTCGAAGGAAGTTGGAATCAGAAGTAGAGCTGAGACTTGAACTCAGGCACTCCAATACTGGATGTGGAGATCCTAAGCAGTGTCTTATTCATTGTGCTAAATGCCCAAACTCAGAAAATATCTTATCAGTAAGCCTACGGCTGGGACGAAACGTAGAAGTAAAGTAAACGTGCAGCCATGTTGGTTCTTACCTTGTAAGTTGCTCTGAGATCAATCCAAGAATTGAAGAATATGGGCTTTAGCAGCTGTTTCCTCTTACACTCATACTCCAGACAAACCCCTAAGTCCCAGTCTGTGTCAAATACACCAAAACAGAACAGTCAACAATGCTGACATTGTTTTCTTATGCTCAACATCATATATAAACAAAATGTTAGTAGATGATATAAAATAGAACAGTTACTGCTTTGTTAATAACTACTAATGATGCACTTTGTGTAATTATTAAATCAGGTTGGCGACTGGTTCAAAATCATTTGTTAATGCTTCAATAATATCTTATTTCAGGAAAGTGTTAAATTACAAGCTGTATATATCATTTCTAAGGAAATTTACTAATGTCATTTAGAAATCAAATTATAGCAACTAGAAAACAAGTACGTCCATGATTCGCTGCCAATGGTGCAGCAGTGCTATTAATGAGCATTAATGGCAACAGCATAGCACGTCATGGAAAGACTAAACAGTCCATTTTTTTTTCCTTCAAGTCAAAGCACTAAAGCAAAGGATGCAGGTTAAATTTGGACATTTTATTCAATGCCACGGAGAACAACATAACAAGATTTGTTCTTTCTGTATCATCTACTTTGATTCTGAAGAACAGACAGACTCTTACAGCTAAAGCTAACTTCAAGATATTCAGGAATAATAATTTTAAAAATATGAATAATTTTACTTTCTTGATTAACAATCTTTATGCATGTGATTTTTTTTCTTCCCCAGATGGTTAACATTCTAGTTCATAAGTATAAAATTAGAAGAATTAAAATGGTAATGATACCCACTTATTGCTAGGCATAACTTATTTTTTACCTGACCATGTAACAAAGGTACAAGGTTTTACTTCTGAAGTGGAAGGCTCTGAAGTCCCAGTAGTAAAAATAATTTTCTTCTGTTGCTGA